GTTACGCTGCTGGTTTGTAATGTCTAACTGTTCGATGAGTTAACTCCTGGACTGGGCAGGCTTAATCATCATCAGTGTGTTTGCAGCAATGTCAACATGCACGAGAGCTCACTTATGTTGGTATTAACATCAATCAGCAGCCCAGGGTTAGCGTAGCTAAATGGGTCCATGGTAAAAACATGGTCATCCATGTAGCCTCTCAGCCCCACGCTGTTAGTAACACCCAAATAAAATCCCAGTTTCACTCAGTGAAGCTGATTCTGCCTGTCAGTACAGTGACCTCACAGCAGTCACATTATTGGTCATGTGATGTCATGAAAAAGGCTCCAACAGCACAATCACAGGCTGTAAACGGCTGTGGGCACTGACTCACTGCTGCAGGTTTCAGCACCATCAGAGACTGAAAAATCAGAATAAAAGTGCTGTAAACAAAATGAAGGAACTCAAGTGTGGAGGACCTGTATGCACCTTGCTCCATCACCTCAGATTGACTTTGCTCACTTTTGTGGCTGCAAAAGAAAGCCAGAGAGTCACATGACTCTGGCCAACAGAATGGGAATGGCCCAGTTTTAGAGCCTTAATTGTAAAATTGACTCATTTTGCTCTGCTGTCCAGCAATAACACATTGTGATGTGACACTGAGTTGGAGTGACAGGTGATAGAGTCGGGTCCAAAGTAAATCCTGGAAGGAGGCAAAGCTTGTTAAACTTCACCCAAACCACAAAACAAGCTGCAGACAGCAGACCTGTCATCACCTGTCCGCACTGAACCACACTGAGGTTTTCATCCATTTCAGGACATTAACTGTGAGCTGACTGCAGCCGAGCTCAGGTTTAGGGTGGGGCAGCAGTTAATGAGGCAGCAGATGTAGTTTCACTTTTCTGGGTGCAACGGGTGGATGTGAGTGGATGTAGCGTCCTCTGGGTGGATGGAAACATGACAGAGTGCTGGAACAGTAACTCACAGGTGGAAGAAAACTGAGCCTGGAAGTGATCTGTGTTTATAATGATGTCATGCACAATTCACAACTCTGTGTGTGTGTGTGTGTGT